CCCAGCGCTCCTCCCGGCTTTGCTGGTGAAGCCTCTCTGCACGAGCTCGGGTTGAGGCGGCGACCCGGGGGGTGGTTGAAGGAGGGCGTGCGTCGTTCTGCGAGGGCCTCCCCTCTGCAAAGAGGAGGCTTTCCCTCTCGCCTTTCTTCCTGGAGATTTCGTGGAAGATTTGTAAGAATTGCTGGAGTTGCAGTAAGCGCCAGGACCGTGGGCCGCGTTATCGGAGCTCGAGCCTCCCTAGGTAGCCCCAAGGCGCAGGCTTTCCCCTGTAATTAAAGCCCCGGTCATAAAGGCGGAAGGGCCATTAGCTACGGCGCCCGGAGCCTGGCAAACGGCTTTCTTTCTGGATAACTCATTGCCGTCGGCTGTCTCATTCCGTGAGGAAAAATTGCGGCCTTTGGTAGGGCTTGAAGGATTAGGACAAAGAGGCATGATGTTGAAGGGGATTATACAGCTATGCTGGCTGGGGAATTTGGGAGTTGAAGTCCACACATCTTCACGTTGCTGAGGTTGAGAAACACTGCACTCCTCTATGTTATGGTCGGCTGTGTATTGTTTCTTGGTGTTGGTTGAGGCTACACTCATAAAAAGTTTTATGGATTCAGACTGATTCTCTTTTGGGTAATCAGATTGTTGAAAGGAAGTTGGTTAGAGGAGCAGGCTCTTGCACAGCACCTTTCTCTAGGCTGGCACCTTCCAGATGTGTTGGGATTGTAAACTGTTGCAGATTTTTCAGTTTGGTTTGGGCATAACTGCAAGGACCCAAATGCTTGGCATGTTCCTTGGGGTCTGTGGCTGTCTGGGTTCAGTCTAATTTGCTTTGTAAAAATCTTTTTAAAAATTCATAATAACAAATTGAATGGGAGGCTACCATGTTGCAAAGTGAAGGAGCACCAACTTCAAACACTATACGTAGTATTTCTAATTATACCCCTAGGCTACACAAAGAGTTGTAGCCATATTTTGTTTGCTTTCTGACATATGGGGATTTTATGATAGGTCACATCCACTGTGATGGCCATTTCATGTGGAACCTGTAACATGCTTTTGAAATCCATTAGCCTAGAATGTTGGTGGCCCATGGCTTAACATTTACCCATTGTAAATTATAAACCATAGTTTATGATATAACATGTGTTAACCCCAGGCAGTTGTGATCTAGTTCATAGACAAAGTCAAGCATGCTGTAATTTAGTGAGTTATTTGAACCAGGTCTGAGAATTTCAGTCCCAACATATCTGGAGCTTTACACGCTCATGGGAGTAGACCTCATTGAACTTAATACAACTTCTGAGTAGACATGCATAGCATTGTAGAGCAAAACTAGAACTTGTTTCTCTGTTATGGCCCTGATTGTGTGGAATAATCTCTCACCTGAAACTAACTTGTCCCATCCTAGACAAAAAGTGGGTAAAGATAAGAGCTCTTCCAAAGAGCTTTTGGTATTGATTAGAAGATAATGCCTGTGAGTAGGATGGGCTACTGTTTTTTTAATATATGGTTTTATTATGATTTATTCCTATGGACAGTTTCATTTAACATACATTTATTCTGGGTGCTTTATTGTACTGTATTGTTACGTTGTAATGGAGGAGTCGTCATACAATATGGCAGTATACAAGAATAATAAATAAATCTCTGAATTGCTAGCCCAAGCTGAAAGGGTCCTTCAACTTATTTTTTTCTTAAATTACAAAATGAAGGCAGTGACTCCATGGCCCAAGTTGTGTTGACTGTGTGAGATATTATCAAGCCTACTTCCTCTAAATGCAGTGTATTGAGGATTGCAGCCTTTGTGACTTTGGCAAAAAAACAAAAAATTGGATTACAAGTTTACTTGTAGCTTCTCAGAAACTGATTGCTGTTATCTCTGGGTGGATTGTGCTAAGTATTCTGGAAGTGCTTAGAGATGCTCTATTTTTTTTTTATTGCTAATTACTATGCCTATGCTAAGAATAAGTGACCTGATGTTCTCCAGTTGTTTAGAAGTTCCAGTCCCATTAGTTCTAGCCTGCAATGCTCAGGTGTAATCCAAGGAGGGTACTAGATTGCCTGTTTGTGTTCTGCTTCAGGTTAAGGCTTCATTTTTATTAATAGGTGTGTGTATGTGTGTTTGAGATGACACACTTGACTGAGACCTGAATAAATTTTTTTTGAAGACATGCTTCAAACAACACAGTCACTTTTTTCTGAGGTCCCCATTTATTGTGGTTGATTCCCTTCTGGGTAGATTATGATTACTGTACTTTGTTTCCTATAGTGGGATTCATGCAATATGCTAAGCCATAATGTAGTTGTCTTGTTCATGGTTTACTGTTATATAAAGTCAGCCAATTATGATGTGTTCAGTAAGTAACTCATGGTTAAGTAAATGGTTAGTTCATTGTGTTGTACAAAGATAGTCCAGCTTTGAAGCCAAATTGCATACATCTCCCAAATCGATGTATGTCGAGTTGGAGTATCGGGCCATCTGGAGAGCACTATTTTAGGAAGGCTGCTTTAAAGACATAGCTAACAGAAACTTACTGCAGAATCACTCTGGATTAGAACTGTAATAAAGTTTTCCCCAATCCAACATTTCCTTACTGGTCTTCCCTGAAATTAGTACTGCAAGAACAGGATTGCTTCCCTTCATCTGGTAAAGCAGGAATTGAAGTCAAACCTACATATGTTGGTCTGTTTTCTATAAATATTTTATTTGTAAATTTCTTTAAGAAAAAATATAAAGTATGGAAGTGATGATCAATTTGATGTTGCAAACAATCAATTTCTATTGATGTTTTTAATGTGCTTATGTCCTTTCCAGTTTCTCTCACTTTTGAATCAACTTTATAATTTTAACGGTGAGAGCCAGTATTAATATTTGCCCCAATCACTGATAGTCTTCCCTTCCTTTTAAATTTTTTTTTTTTTTTTAATCTGCGATCAGTCGTTACTGACTCTGCAGTGACTGCTTGGACGAGTCCTTGCAGTTTTCAAGGCAACTGTTCTTC